AGCCCTCAGCAGCCCTTCACCCTCAGCTCCTCACCCTCAGCCCTCAGCAGCCCCTTGCCCTCAGCTCCTCTGCCCTCAGCATCTCTCCCCCCACGCTCAGCTCAGCTCCCCTCACCCTCACCTCGCCCTCACCACACCCTGCTCTTCCCTTCCTCCTCGCTTTCCCTCCTTAAACCTGGAGGAGCACAGCCCTGCCGTGCTCAGGGGGTTTGTGGGCTCCTTGCTGAGGGGCACCTCTGTTCCCTGCACTGCCCAGAGCCAGCCCCTTCCTCGGGACATACATTTTCCACAGCCTGGGGTGTGGATGCCTTTCATTTCCCAGACTCGTGCGGGAGTCAGGCTCAGGGGTGCTGAGGGTTCTCTTTCTCCCGCACTCATTTAAATCACAGAATAAAACAACCCAAGCCCGGGGGTGTTTGAAATGTGAGGAGCCTTTTCTTAAAGCCCTCTGAAAATCTAGGGGGCTGGGCACCAGTTAGCACTGAGGAGCATTTCCTTTGGAAGCCCGTATTTCATAGAAATACAGATATAAATATTCTAATTACTGCGTCCTGCAGCCTCGGGGGAGGCCTGTGCTGCTGTGGGAATCAAGGAGCTGGTGCTGGGGGTTATCAGACAAACCGTCCTGCTCTCTTTGCTGACAGTCCCAGGTTGGTTCGAGCTGGTGAGTTGTGCAGGAGACCCAGGGGATGCCCTGTGGAAGCTGCAGGCTGGACTTGCTGCCCTTCTGCTCCTCCGGGTGTTAACGCAGGTGTTTAATTCACAGGCAGAAGAGTCTCTGCGAAATGGCAACTGCTCAGAAGCAAAGGAATTGCACGGTACGGTTGTGTTGTGCTTTTTTGGGCACAGTCTGTTCTTTAATGGGAAAAATGGGGGGAATTTTGGCTGAAATAGTGCACCCAGGAGATAGTTCTTCACTTGAAAATTTTGGGCTAATTGGGTTCTTTTAACTAAGAATAAAGATGCTTAGTAGAAAAATAATCTGAGTTTTGTTGTCGTGCACTTGGTGAAAACCAGCTGTGAACCAAAAACTCGATGACACCAAATGTCAGGAATATACTTTATAAGCCACCAAAGTCAGACTTCTCAATTCAGTTAAAATTAAGGCATTGGACAGGGTTGGTGCTGTGGATACAGCCTAACTGGTTTATTGATTTCTTCCTCTGGTTTTCCAGAGCGCAGTTGTGTTCCCCAAACAAATAGCCACGGAGCAGCAGTCCCTGATGCTGGTGAAGAGGCTCCTGGCGGTGGCCGTGTCCTGCATCACGTACCTGAGAGGGATCTTCCCTGAGAGTGCCTATGGAACGAGATACATGGATGGTAACAGGCTGTTTCTGGGATAACGTGCCAATTCTGTGGGTTTTTAGAGCCATTTTGAAACCATTTCAATGCCTGCAATGGAAACTTCACTAATTCATTAAACTGAATTTTGTTAGTGCCGGTGCTCTAACAATTAAAACTCTGCTCACGTTTAACAGTAATGTTAATTTTAGCCTCATTTTGATATGTGTTTTTAAGGAGCGAACATGACTTTTTAAATTGCATTTTGCCCTAAGTAAATGTGCCTTTTTTTTAATTTTTTATTTTTTTTTGAGACGTCTGTGTCAAAATCCTGAGGGAAGACAAGAACTGCCCTGGCTCCAGCCAGCTGGTGAAATGGTACGTTTGGGCTCCCCCTTTGCCTGTTGCTTGGCTGTTCCAGAAAAGGCAAAGGGCAATAATTGAACTCCTCTGTGCTCCAGGGATGTTGGCTGAGCTCCTGGTTTATGATGGAATCACGGAATGCTTTGGGTTGGAAGGGACCTTAAAGCTCATCCCCTTGGAAGGGGCACCTTCCACTGAGCCAGGTTGCTCACCTGATTAATGAACACATTGGAAGCTGTTTGAAGTACTGCAATATGTTTTCACTGATACATTAGATTGTATTTTTAATTATTCTCCCGAGAGACTGATTAAAGGGAAGATTTGGTTGGGAAGATTTGACCCTACACAGGCAGTCCTTGCTTGTACCCCTGCTAACAAAGAAGGCAGAACAATGCCAGAAATGCCATTTGTTGCCCTGACACAAGAAGGAAACAGAAGTTGTTCACTTTTTGCTGCTATTTCGGCCAGGAGCAAATGGAGATGAGCGACCTGTTTGGTTTGTTGCAGGATGCTGGGGTGCTACGACGCCTTGCAGAAGAAATACGTGAGTCTTGCAGCCTCATTTCAAGGCTGGGGGAAGGTTGGTTTGAGCCCATCAGCTGCAGGACTCTGGTCAGTGTGGGAGGCACGGGAATTTCAGGGCAAAATTCCTCCTAAACAGGAGGTGGAGGATTTGGGGGTGTTTGGGGTCCTCTTTTTAAACAGAAGAGGAAGAAGTTTTCCTTCCAGCAGTTCTCTGCTGGTTGCCAGAAGCGGAGAAGGGAATGAGCTGTGAGGAGGAAGGGCTCTGAAATCTCTGAAATCCATCTGATCTTTTCTCTCTCTGTTCACACCTCGGGCAGCTCAGGCAGATCGTCCTCGCTGTGAGTACCCCTGACAAGCAAAGGACACCGTTTGGAAGGTCCTTACCCTGAATTATTTGTTTTCTGAGAGTTCTTGTTCTGATCCCTCTCTTCCAAACTGCAGGTCTACACCCAGCCAGAAGATCCTCAGGTAAATCAGCTGGAATGTTTAGTTGGGTGACTGATGGATGGAGTAACATGGGTGCACAAGCAGGGATATTTAACATATCTAACATTAATATCATAATATAGTAAAGAAATATATTTGTATATTAAATAATATATATCTATATATCAAGTAATTAAATAATATAATTTATATATTATTATAATTTATATATTATTATATATTATTATATATTATTATATATTATTATATATTTATATATTAAATAAATAAATTAAATAGATGAATAATATAATAATATATTGAATAATATATATTTATATATTGAATAATATATATTTATATATTAAATAGTTAAACTGCATCATTTATATATTAAATGAATAAATTAAATAGATGAATAATATAATAATATATTGAATAATATATATTTATATATTTAATAATATATATTTATATATTAAATAGTTAAACTGTATCACTTATATATTAAATAAATAAATTAAATAGATTAATAACATAATAATATATTGAATAATATATATTTATGTATTTAATAATATATATTTATGTATTAAATAGTTAAACTATATCATTTATATATTAAATAGCTAAATTAAATAAATGAATAATATAATGATATATTGAAAACATATATATTTATATATTGAATAATATATATTAAATAATTAAATTATATCATTTATATATTAAATAAATAAATAAAATTAATAAATAATAATATAATATAGTAAATAAATATATATTTATATATTAGAAGGTATATATTTATACAATTAAATAAAATTAAATAAACTAAATAAAATTATAACTAAATAATAAATAAATTTATATAGTAAATAATAAAAATTAAAACTAATCAAAATACATAATTCTAATGAATAATAATATATTAATAATAATTAAATAAAATATCTAATAGATAGAATTTGTATGTTAAATATTAAATAATAATTAAATAATAATTAAATA